TGGCGTATTTATTTTTTACATAACTCATCGAGTAGATAACTATATTTGATTTGCATAATATTGATCACTCTGGATAGTAGATTTTTATTTATGGTTGATATTTGCAAGGTTCTGTGTCAATGCTGTAGTTTTTTTCACCTGAAATATAAAACAAGATAGCAACACAATTTTTTGTAAGTATAAGGTTTGCAGTGCGATTAACCAACCACAACGGACGACAAATATATATAAAGTTACTTATCATGGTCACATACTTTTCAAGATTGTTATAGAGTTAATTATTGATTTATAAGACACGAGTATGTTAAAAAAAATCTCATATTAAATCGTGTGATAATGAGCTTATTTTTTTAAGGGAAAAACATCTATCATTTTAAAGGATATAATCTTATATCATTTTAGATACTAACCGTTGATTTCCGTTCAACGGTTATAATCTATTGGGTCAAACTTAATGGGCCAAATTTATTATTAATTAATTAATAATTTTGATCCAATAAATTATAACAGTTGATGAACATAAATCAACGGTTAGGATCTAAAATAATATAAGCTTATATCCTTTAAAATGACAGATGTTATTCTCTTTTTTAAAACCAAGTGAACAATTTGGAAAATTTATTTGTTTTCTATTATTATTAGAGTTATATATGTATACGTGTCTTATAAATCAATAATTAACTCTAACAATCTTGAAAAGTCTGTGACCATGATAAGTAACTTTATATATATTTATCGTCCGCCGTGGTTGGTTAATCGCACTGCAAATCTTATATTTACAAAAAATTGTGTTGTTATCTTGTTCTATATTTCAGATAGGAAAAACTATAATATTGACACAGAACTCAAAGGGTGGGAGTGTCCAAGGCCTTATAAAGGTCACATTAGTTGTATGAGCAACCAATGTGGGACTCGTAACATTGCCACCCCCCTTTAAGGGCCGACGTCCACGACGGCTTTCACTCTATCGACACTGACCCGATGGTAGCCCTTTCCTTTTTGGCGACTTCACTCATCTATCAGTATTGAGTACAACACCCCTTTTGAGAGGGTATGGTACCTTAATCCAGCATATAGGTAGCCCTTTCCATGGCTTCAACTCTCAATGAAAGCACCAATTATTACGGGCTTTGAGGTCACCACCCCAAAAGCTAGTTCAAATGGTGGGAGTGTCCAAGGCCTTATAAAGGCCACATTAGTTGTATGGGCAACCAATGTGGGACTCGTAACAGCTCACTAAGCTTGAAAGGTAGATAATGCACAGACTCACTTACATGTGTTAAGAAACTCTACAAGACTTAATTATTTATTAATTAAATGAGGGGCGGTAAAAAACAAACCCGGGACATCGAGACTTTGATACCATGAAAAAAATTAATTCAAGCCAAAAATTTAAGAGGTTAATTGAGGCTACATTAATAATTTTTTTATTTTTCTAACCATTCGTAATAAAAATTAAGAGCAACACTGATTATGGAACGAGTGCAATGTAACGTACTAATAATTTCTTATAGTTTAGGGGGCAAATTGTCAATATTTTTCCTGTACTTTTCCAAAGTAGATTTGCCTCATTGACATATTTTGGTATAAACTGCAATACATCAAGATTGAGCAACTGTTAACTGGAAAGCTTGATTCGCTGAGAATTTTGGGATGGTCCCATGTTGTTCCAATGAAAACGTTTATTGCAGTTTGGATAAGTCACTGCTTTTTCAATGCATTTATCTATTGAAAAACAAAAACAAACATACTTGTCTTGTGGTTGGCTTGCCTAAACCGAAAGGCTAACGAAGAAGATTTTGCAATTAAAAAGAGGACCCAGAAGTCTACTATGAAAGTAAATGTTGACTACTGTCGTAATAGGTGTTGTTTTATTAAATTCCTTTATTAAAAGTAGAAAGAATTGAGATTTACGTAACATTAATCATAAAGAGTGGACAAAATAAATGTAATTAGGTGGAAAGAATTTATATGGCATCAACTATCAAAGAATGTGCAGAATAAAGGTCATTAGATGATTTTTTTTTATTAATTTTTTTTGCTTTTTTTTTTATAAGTGATACTGAGTCTATGAAAAAAAAATTGTAGAGGGCATCGTTTTCATGGAAGCGCGCTTTTTATATTACACACGGGTCGGAGTCTTAGCCCTGAAAGTATCATGAAACTAAAAAACTATTCTGCAGAATAAGATTAAAAAATAAAAGTGAGGATGAGCCCGAATATTTAAAACTTGTGATAGTAATAGAGGCAATAATCTTAACCATTCAAATTGTTCCTTCATGATCATACATGGGGAAAAGTATCAAATTGACAGAAGCTCTCTCACATGCATTTAAATTGATGTTACTTTAGTATGCTACGCGGTTTCTGTTCTTCATTGTTGCCGCAACAATATTAGCATATTCTCAGGCCATCCCTTTCTGATCAAGAAAAGTGCCTAACTAACCCAAGTGGGGCAGCTCACTTCCTTTCAGGGGATTGAGTAAGGTGAGAACAAGAATCACGGTTTAAGTACTACCTAATGCTATATTGGGAAGGAGTAAAAAATACTGTAATTCCATATTACAACCTCAAATTCTGAATTAGTTTCATAGACGGATTAAAGAGTCAAACTTTAGAGATATTAGAGAAATCTAATTCATCCCAAAGAGATAATTAGAATCGATTGTAAAAAAAATTCCAAACTAGATCAAACCGTCCAAGTATTATTTTGGCACCGCTAGAGGGAGTAGTGCTTCTAGTTCCGAGTCGCAAGTCACAGCAATAAATCACATAATTCCTAGTACATAATGAATGAGATAGAATTAGATTTTTAATTATTTTTTTTATTATAGTTTCAAATAACCTAAGAATTTATCCTAGTTTCAAGTTAAAAATTTCACGTTACGATTAATGTTTTGGCCTTGCTTGGCATGGTTGATAATATACAAAACGCGTGATATTTTTTATAATTTATAAAAGAGTTCGCTTTTTGTCATGTCACATGACAAGACTATTTTTCTGCACACACAAATCAAGTGTGGGTCTCACGCTTAAAAAAAAAAGTCAAACCAAAATCAGGATACGGCACCGTATCTTCAAGGTACGTTGCCGGATCCTTATTGCAGGAATGAACAGTGTCATGATTCTTATATTTGCCTTTATAAAATGATCCTTAACTGCCACGTCACCCATGCGCATCGCCGTGTTTCACGGTTATTAAATTCTCATGCGATAGTAATTATTATTACGTGGTTTGTACTAAATATTAGGTATCAGTGTAACTCAAAATAAAATTACAAATTATATATTTAAAAAAATATATAGTTAAGATATTAAAGTTTTTTTTTTCTTTTTTTCTTTTAGAAAATATATCAGCACAATTGTTATATTTTTATTGGTTGGTTGCAGGTACTACACCGTAAAAACCGTCATGTTTCCTATTTATTGTTGAAGAAAAGAAGTTCCTTTTTACGAGCGACTTTTCTTTTACAATGCACCCTGTGAAGAAAGCTGCATCAGCTCATCCTAAAAATAAAAATAATATGCTATAATGAGTTCTCTTACTTTATAATTCGTCTATTAAGCTTTGATAAAAAAAGAAACAGGGAGTTTACAAAATAAATGACACATATACACATGTAAAATATACTATTATTAATATATCAAAAATATATATAATATTATTAATTAAAAGAAACTTACTGACTAAGTGTTGTCTTTATTAAATCTTTATCATCTGTTGAAATAAGAAGGTCCACATGGAACTGCAAAAATGGGGTCCATCATGCTCAAACCTTAACGCATAGGTTTGATGTTTTCAAGTCTCACTGTTGGAGTCAGTGAGTCACACACACAGAGAGAGAAAAATAACTTTTATATTATACAAATTAACCGCAAGTTTGGTTGTTTTTAATTGAATGCCACAGCCACAGGTGCGTAACGTTAACGTAATGGTACACCGTGCTGTGGTCAATGTTAATCAACACGGTTTCTCCATCGGGTGGCTGAGGAAAACTGATAAAAGGACCACAAGGGATTGATTTTTTGGTAGTAAATGCCAAGAAGCAGAGTTTCAGGATATATATATCTCTCTTCATAATCACAAATATTGATAGAGAAGAAGATAGTGATGGACCACTTCAATAGTTTCAATGCATGTTAATTAAGACCTCTCTTCTATAATATTAATTTACTGCTGAAGTTATCCTCATCATCATGGGCGGTGTCACTTTCTATACATGCCATTAATATACACCACCAATTTGGGAATATTAACTCTGGTGATGAAATCAAGGAGTACTGGACTTAGAGTGAAGGTTAAGCTGAGTTTAAACACTATTAAATGATTGTATTTTTTGTTTAAAGAAAAAATATTATTATTATTATTATTTATTTTGTTGTTGTTGATATCTTGATTCTTGATCATGATTTATTGCCTCTGATATTGGAACCAATGAAATGCAGGGGTATACATCTTAATATAATCTTTATCATAACTCACTCAAGTATACAAAGAAAATTGACAAAAGTTAGGTCATTATTCATATCTGATAAACCAAAAAATTAACAAACCAATAAGACAAAAAAGTGGGGGGAATCAAGTGCAAGAGAGAGGCCATGCATGGTGCCTTAGTCAGAGGGATCTTGGGTGCTTTCAAAAAAACCATCATCAGTGGTGCCATCAAAGAATTCTCCAAATGGATGGACCAAAAACAAAAGGGACCAATGTGAGGACACAAGGATTCGACATGCCAGACCAGAATTTGCCACCTTCAATGGTTCAGAAGCGTGTCTAAATTCCACCCTTGCAACTCACCTATCATCTTAATCTCCTCCCTCACCATTAACTCAACCTTTTCAATTTTATATTGTCTTTCTCTTCTTTCATTTGCCCTTTTTCTAAAGCATTCTACTTTTTTCACTAAATTCCTCACCTATCATTAATTAACATGTGCTACCCTCACTGCCACTCTGTGCCCTTTGACTTCTCTTCTCTCCTCTCTATTTAACCCATTATTCTTTTTTCTCACAAACTATCATGCTTTCTCTCTTTTTCCTATAGTACTCACCAAACACTTCCCCTATAACTACAACCTCTCGCAACCCATACCAAACACACCAAGTTCCATCAGAGAAACACAAAACTCCCTTTCTCTTTCTTTGCATTTGTTCCTCCACCCCCGACAAGAGATGAATTCTGATCAGTTTCAGAAGAACAGCATGTACATAGAAACCCCTGAAGCTTTTGGCGATGGTGGCAAAAACTTAGACGACGATGGACGCATCAAAAGAACTGGTACATATATATTGTTATAGTATTTTACTAATCTAATGATAATAAAACCATATATAAGATGGATTATTTTTATTCCGGTGTAACAAAAAGAAATCTTACTCTCACCCGAGTCACGTGCATCCAGCGGTTATAATTTATTAAAATTAACTGTTATTTTACTTCTTATTCTTACACCGGTATCAAAAGATTATCCTATATATATATATGTATCATAATCATAGATGGTTATATAATTAATTAACACATAATATGATTTATGTTATGTGATGGTGATTAATTTGAAGGTACATGGGTGACTGCGAGTGCTCATATCATAACGGCAGTGATAGGGTCAGGAGTGCTATCACTTGCATGGGCAATTGCACAAATGGGTTGGGTGGCTGGCCCTGCTGTTCTCCTTGCCTTCTCTTTCATCACATACTTCACCTCCACTCTTCTCGCCGATTGTTATCGTTCACCTGACCCTGTTCATGGCAAGAGAAACTACACCTATTCCAATGTTGTCAGATCTGTCTTAGGTAAATTAAACTGAAATTCATTTTTATCATTTTCTTTTATGCACCTTTTTTGTCATTTGTTAATTAGTACTTAAACTTAATTGACATGATCAAATTCGAATAAAATTTGATGTAATTAATACTTATTAATTGTTGTTTTTTAATTTCGGTAGGAGGGAGAAAATTTCAGCTGTGTGGATTGGCACAATATATAAATCTTGTCGGTGTAACCATCGGCTACACAATAACTGCTTCAATTAGTATGGTGTAAGTTTCAACGTAAACTGTTGACTTTTATATATGGAATATATTAATTTATCTAAACTTTTGGACTTTAACAGTGTAGTAATAAATTCTCTTCTTTCTTGTTTTTTTTTTCAAATGGTGACAACCAATATTCAGGGCGGTGAAAAGGTCTAACTGTTTTCACAAACATGGCCATCAAGATAAGTGCAATATATCAAACTACCCTTTCATGATAATCTTTGCTTGCATTCAAATTGTCCTTAGCCAGATACCAAACTTCCATAAGCTCTCGTGGCTCTCCATTGTTGCGGCCATTATGTCTTTTGCTTATTCTTCCATAGGCCTCGGGCTCTCCGTAGCTAAAGTAGCAGGTAGGTTAATTAATTAGTATTCAAAACTTTTAACTTTTTTTAACACTAGTAGCCATGATTTTCACTTCTAGATTAATTTATAATAATGATATAAGATTCACACATGCATGTTTGGCCAATGGATAAGGTGGGGGTGGACATGCACGGACATCCTTAACGGGGGTGCAAGTTGGGGTGGACGTTACGGGATCTGAAAAAGTTTGGAGGACGTTTCAGGCTATTGGTGACATTGCCTTTGCTTATGCTTATTCTAATGTTCTCATCGAGATACAGGCAAGTCATGTTTCATTATTATATTATTATTATTTGCAAACATATATATCATTTATAGTTTGCATAAAAAGGGCCATGCATGCATGCCCACGTATACAAAGGATGAGAGGGTATGTGTCAAGTCACATCCTATTCATAATTTCATATAGAATCAAACTTTCATTTAATGCGTTCGATATAGCTTCTTTTGTTGATTATGATATAAAATTACTTTGCTTTGACCTACCTACCCTCCGATAATAAATACAGATAGATCTACATGGCAAAAAATTTTGGTTTGCCAGGTTTCTCTAAGTATGATGCATTAATTTCAATACTGCCATACTTGTATAGCCTATGGCTATACAAGTATGAAAGAGTGTATAGCCTATACCTATACACTTAGAATGGATCATGATTACATGCATGCATAACTAAAGAGAACGTGGCAGTCTGAAAGAGTGTCCAATTGCGGACTCTGATTGATATATTGGGCGGTGATTTTCAAAGAACGAAACTCTTTATTCGCTACATCTCTAAGCCGGCCCAGATAAGAGGCTTGGCAATGGAAAGAAATGACCCTTTAATGGATTAGTAAAATGACTTTTCATTTATGAGTTTGTTATTTCTTATATTATAAAAGATAAATTTATTTCTTATATATATAAAAAATATATGAAACTTATGTTTTTTTTTCTCTTCTAGACCCATATATTTTAATGTATGTGTAAGAGATAAAAGAAACGTTAAATCCTTCATTTATACGGCTTATGTCAGGGAGCTGATTATAGAAATTAAACACTATCGAAATAATTAGAATACTCAGATGCACAGATTTACATCTATATGCACCTCGTATGTTTTCATGCAAGCCAGCTGGATGACACACTGGTTCTATTACAACTTTTTTTCTTTTTTTTAATGGTCTGAATTATATGTATAGTATCACTTTTCTAATTGTTTGCCTTTAATGGTATAAGATATCTTTTCTTTTTTTTTCTTTTGGAAATTGATAAGATATCTTTTTTGTCAAAAGCAAGTTATCACTTCTTCATTAAAGTGGCAGAAACTATTCTAATCAAAACTAAAAGAAAGATTCTTTTAGTCCTTTTATCGAATTTTTCAGTGGAAAGTAAAAAAGATAAAGGAGACCTTTTTACCAAAAAGTCATTAATATATCTTAGAAAAGATGCCAAGAAAAATTATACTTCCTTCATAGGACGTTTATTTGCGTCATTAAGACTCCTTATATGTATGCAGAATAAAAAAAGATTCCTTAATCTCCTTTGGCATTTTTCGGGTCCGGATATATCATGACTATTCACATGTAAGTAATAGATGTATATGCTTAGAGATATCTATAAAAGAAATATCATACGGGAGTAGAAAAAATATACCAATCACTAATAATATACGTATAGCGAAGGCATGAGGTGTGTGCATCATGATAAGCAAAAGAATAGGGAATTCAGAGTGTATACGTGAGAGGCTTGACCCTTTATTTATAGAAGTGTGAGAGGCTTGACCCTTTATTTATAGAAGTTACTTGTAGGTGTAGATCCTGATAGGATTGTGATTGTTGGAGGATAAGATAAAAATTGTTAGGATAGGGACCTAATACTCTGTTCCATTAGAGGCACCTTTTCATAAAAAAAAAATAATATGGCAACTTTATAAAAGTTGAGCCCGATTTAAATCCCCTTTTTCTTCTTCACTTTATCTAGTTGTGTTCCAGACAGACCATATTTTTTCAGGTTCATTTTTATCACCTGCTACCGACCTCTATAGATGAGTGTTCCTTCATCCGTTAGTCGTAGATTGAGCAATTACTGGAAGGGTTGATTTCCCCCAGAATTTGTTAAACTACATAAAAACTTTTTTATGAATTAGGAACTATCGCACGCTCATAAAGGACAGAGGCTTTATTGTTTCAAGCTAATTAATATATACTTTAGCAACATCCTGGTCAGCCCATTATTTTTTATTTTATTATTATTATTATTTCTGAGGGTGTGGGTTGCAGATCGATTAATTATCAACCAGGAGATGTGATTCACTTTGTAAAACTGGAGTCCATATAAGTGAAAATTACTCGCAATTTGGTAAAAATACCCTATGGCCAAAACAAAGCTGAGAAAAAACTTTCGTGGTGTGTGCGCACGCATATATATATTTGTCATCCGTCTAAGAATGATAACTTTCATGGGAATGTAATGATTATTGTCAATGGCACATGATGATATTTTACTTCCATGCCCACTGGGGAATGGGGACAAATGATTGCAGGATACACTGAAATCAAGCCCTCCAGAGAACAAAGTCATGAAAAGAGCAAGTTTGATCGGCATCTTGACCACAACCATGTTTTATATGCTATGTGGCTGCCTAGGTTATGCAGCATTCGGAAACGATGCACCAGGAAATTTCCTCACAGGGTTCGGCTTTTACGAGCCCTTCTGGCTAATAGACTTTGCCAACGTCTGCATAGCCGTGCACTTAATTGGTGCATATCAGGTAAAAAAAGAAACTTGGATTAAGCCCATTTCCTGCTTCTGATGGCACAGGTGTATTTGTTCATGCTTTGGGATTTTATATATTGCCAGGTCTTCTGCCAGCCCATATTTGGTTTCGTAGAGAGATGGAGTAAAGAAAGATGGTCTGAAAGCCAATTTGTAAATGGAGAGCACGCTGTGAACATTCCGCTATGTGGAACTTACAATGTGAACATTTTCAGGGTGGTGTGGAGAACCACATATGTTATCATCACTGCTTTGGTAGCTATGATCTTTCCATTCTTCAATGACTTCCTGGGCCTGATTGGTTCATTGTCCTTTTGGCCATTAACGGTTTACTTCCCCGTAGAGATGTACATTAAGCAGTCCAAGATGCAAAGATTTTCCTTCACGTGGACATGGCTCAAGATATTGAGCTGGGCCTGCTTGATCGTTTCTATTATCTCAGCTGTCGGCTCCATCCAAGGCCTCACTCAAGATCTCAAGAAATTCCAGCCCTTCAAAACTCAGCAATAATACTAGTTCTAAGCTCTATATTGTTTTCTTTTGTCGGTCACTTTTCTTCGTTTTAGTAAGTTATCAGCAAGTCCTTGGATAATGTAATGTTATCAGTTTCTAAGAAAGAAACAAACATAAAACTCAGCTGCAGTGTATATATGTCATGAATAATGCCAAGATGGTTTTATAGTCAGCACTATTATTTAATATTGTCATCTATGATTCTATGGTACGTGAACTATATATACCCATTCAATTCCGTAGAGCCTGCATTAAGCTTGTATCTGCATCAAACGCATTTCAATAGCAGAGAGTCAAGATTCAAATTCACTCACTGGTCATGGAATCCGGTAGCAGAAACAGAAACTGAATCAAAAATCATGTCTAACTGTGACTCATTCGTCATTGGAAAACAATCTAAAATTGGGATGTCAAGACCAATACTAGTAGAACTAAGCATTTAAATCAGTACACAGTCATTCGACAAGCTCGCTCCACTTCACAGCTGTCACACACACACACATATATATTCTGTGTCAATTAAGTCCAACAGAAATGTCTCATAACTATTTTGAATGTTTCTTTCCACCAATAATATAAATAAAAGGAATCCAATAAATCAGAAATTTTAATAGGGTGCACTCAGGTTTATTAAGTACCTTAGGAGTTAGGATCATGAGGTAGTCAGACTTGGATACGTATAGCAGAGCAAATGCTCCAACCATCATATCTTCTCTCTTTCTACGGCAGAGCAAATAGTTGTTAAAATCTAACTATTCAATGCGATTCAGCAAACCAGTGATCCGCATCATGTGATGAATTGGAAATGGCTTTGAATCGTGCAGTATATTGCATCAATGGTGCAATTCCATATCACAGATATGAATAGCAAGATCCAATGAATAGCAAAATCTCTTTCTTTTTCATTTTTTCTTTTTCATAAAAAATTGAAAAAACAAATAAGCTTAAACTGTTGGATGATAGGGAACTAAAGGAACACTATTATTCCATGTTATGTTTTCATTCTTTTGAAATAGGGGATTCACACAGTCAAACACTCACTCGATACACATCCTATTTGGCTATTCTATTGCTCTTTTTCATTGTTTTGAAGCATAAGCTTCACATTGTGACTTTTGGCTATAGCATTGCTTTATTTTCCTTTTTCCAAAACATAGGCTTCACACAGTCATTTCATATGACTCAACTATCACTTATGACTTATATTGAGCATCATCTATCATTCATATGATATACTTCAAGCTACTTTTAATTATGTCTCTGAATCTTACAATACAACACAATTCATGATTCACAACTCAAATTAAATCGGCAATTCAAAATTTGAATTGCGATTTGATAACCTTGTCGTCTTCATATTACCTTCTTTATTACATTCTTTTGGCAATGAGTTTCCTTTTAGGGGGAAGGGGTGGGAGTTCACGGTCATAGAGGTTAAAAATACAAATGGACGGAAGAATTGGATAATTAATATACTAACATGTCCAAGAAAAGAAGTAATGCATACGCCAATGTGCTTGTGTTAAAAATACGAAGAAATGTTGGAAACCTTGACTGTTTATCTTCTACAAGCATCAAAATTGTACTCCATCACTTGACTGTTTTCTGTGAGATCGAAAAGGCATACATTTCGGACAAATGAAATTATTCAAAGATAGGATGTATGTTCAAGTTTGGTCAGATGCACATGAAAAAAGAGCTAGGGCATAGTCGTATTTCTATCCGATAAAGTTTAACAATTTACACCACATTCTTTCTAAAAACTAAAACACGAAGAAATAATATTAAGCAAGAAAATGAGCTCAATTACAGACAAAACAAACAAAATGTATTAGTGTATTACCCAAATAGAGAGATCAACCAGACTCCCTCTCACTCATGACAAATGCCTGAATAAGACTTTGTGCAGCATGAGTTTGCTCTGGGGTTCCAGATATTATAATTTTAGTTTCCACAGCTCCAGGCTTTGGATCAGTAATAGTAATATTTGCATCAGAGATCTGAAAGTGTGAACCACATTGCAAATGTCAAAATCATTAAAAATAATACAATAATTTCATCAACAATCACAGTATCCAACAATTTATGTTCCAATTAAAAATGAGAAGAGGGTAAACAATCTTTTTGTTGTTTTTTTCTTGCGTATTTGGGGCCACGGGGAAGGGTACACATACTTAACTTCAATGTCTAACAGGAAGATGTTACACATTTTCTCACATTAATACAATTATAGCATTCAGTGTTAGGAAAATACAAATGATATCTACAATGTTGGAAAATGTCCCTTTTGTTTGTTCCTTGATATAACTTGTACACACAAGCATATGCGAAAGAATATTGGCGCAGGTGTGGATGCATGAGTGACTCAGGCAACTACTTAAATTGTAAAGAACAAAAACCATCTGAGTAACAGCCATATAAAAGCAACAATATTATCATCATAAATTGTCATATGTAGTGGGTTAACCTGAAGTATTTGTTTTAGGCATTCACCATCTTCCCCATATATTACAGGCACCATCGATCGAGGAACGACAACTTCAACAGTAGTGCTTGTGATAATTGGTTGACTCCCTCTGCATGATAAAACTCAGTTATTATATATATATATATATATATATATATAGAGAGAGAGAGAGAGAGAGAGAGAGCAATCACAAAGGGATTGAAATATAATAAATACAACAAAATTATTGACATTTGAGAGTGATAGACATACCCAGCAAATCCTGAAATTCTTCTAGGAGGACCTCCTGCAAAGTCTGGCAATCCCATGAGTCCACCACCTTCAAGTATCCCCTAGAAACCAAATATCAAATAAGACCAACTCCAACAATTAGGTAGCCATATCAATGTGCAAAAAGAAGCTTGTTCATAAATTAATGGCTTCTCACAACTAAAGATTGATATGCCATTCCTTCTGAAATTTTACTATTGGGAGAACCAAACTAGCAAGTTTGGCCTGGATAATGGGATATTGGTACACAGTCCGATACTTTTCTATTGTCAGATATTTATCTGAACAAGGCATCTATGAGCCTCTCACTGAAGCATGCCTACAGCCCTGGATTTAAAAAAAGAAAAAAGAAAAACTCCTGCCTGGGATTGAACTAGGATGTTGAAATTTTTTATGCTATATATGAAAATAAATAGATTGATTATAACTTTCAAGAATGTAAACTTCTCTTTCTCTAATTTTTCTTTGGTATCTGCTTAAAAATTATTTAAGTCACAATTAAAATATTTTATATAATAAGAAACTACAGACAATTTAGAATTTTTCAAAAATAAAATATACATCACCCAAACTTAAAAACCTATGTTTCATAAAGTTAATTATTACATACACAATTATTTTGATGCCAACCAAGCCTGCTGGACCACTGTCCCCTACTCATTCAGTTCAACTTAAATTCTAATAAGACTAATTTCAGTATCCAGCCCGAGTGTTTGATAGAAGATAACCTAAATCTAAACGACATGCAGATATGATGCAAAGACAGTGGGTAAGCCAAAAATAGTACAAAAAGATAAACAACAGTTCAATACCTGAGGACCCCAAGGCTTCCTCTCAGATATGTGAGAAGGAATGCCTGGTCTATGCATATTATTCATAAAAGGAGGACGATCATCAAGGGGAAAACCAGAACGCGGAGGTGGAGGACCTAGGTCAGAATACATTCCGGGAGGTGAAAGTCCCCGCCTTCCCAAATATGGTGGGAATGGAGGAAGCTGATCCAGAAATGAAGAATTTGAAGGATAATTGACAGATGGATATGCATCGCGGAAGAAATTATGTCTTAATCTAGTGGTTATTTGCAAAAGAGCATCATGCACAGCCTCAATTTCTCCATTTATCTGTCAGAAATTAAACAGGATAAGCAACAACTATATGAAACATTAAATAAAATTTCAAGGTAAAAAATTGTTCAAATTAATAAACACCAATCACCGAACATACATGTCATGTCAAATAAAATAATTGATAAATCAGTACCATGTAAATGTAATTATTAGCAAGTTACTCCAATTGCTCATTTTGAAAAAAAAAAATGACTTGACAATATTAGTTGTAGCTTTCCCTCAGAAAAAATGGTTATTCTGATATGAAGTTTAGGTGACATCCACATCATATCTCCCAAATTCAAGGGGGTGTAGTTTAATTTAATCTAAATAATTGCAACATATCATAATCATTATGTGAATAATACTCATAGGAATAAAATGACAGCTTTTACTTTAAACCTATAACAAACTCAGTAGAAATTGCACCTGAATCACTTCTTCATCTTCTGAAGCACACTTTGGAACCTTATCCTTTCCTAATATACGGATATGGGCCCCTGATAACTTCCTCATTTCACTTATGATGGAACCTCCCTTGCCAAGGAGACAACCTATTTGATTGGAAGAAACAAGAATCCTTGCTAACATACTATGCTCTTTGGCATCAGGTATAGCAATTCTACTTTGCACACGAAATACAGCCTCTTGCACAGGAGATATTCTATCATCTGGGTGCTGCAATTATTAATCTATCAGTGAAAAAAAAATGTGGCTCCATAACTACAGCTCAAATGAGAAAATGGGAAACTTGCACCATACCGCTGGACCAGATATGACAATAATGCAGTCCTCTGAATCCGGGACGCCATCTATAACCTTGATTTCACTAGCTGTCTCTTGCTGCACAGCCTTTATGATTGCTCCACCTTTACCAATTAAATTTCCTACCCTTTCAGCCGGACACAATAAACGAAAAGTAAGCATTTCCTGTAAAGGCCTCATGCGACCATGAATGGCACCTTCATGAAATTTGGGAATCAGAGGAGGAGCAGAATGGAAAAGAGAAATATCATGAGACCCAGTAGCAAATGGTGCTCCTTGAGCAGCAAAAGCTCGGTTATGAGGTGGGAATTGACCAGATGAATGAGATGATAACCCAGTAAAATTGGCAGACAGAGATTCATGATCCCGAGGTGGATTTTCCAAAAGCTGTTGACAAACAGATTGAAGAGCTTTCCTGACAACTTCAACCCCCCCTGTGATCTACATCATAGCATACATATGAAAAGTAATGTTAAAACGAGACAACAAGCATCAACGAGTCTAGAAATGAGTAATATGCACCAAGATAGCAGGCTACGGGACCCAATTTTTGTACTTCAGCCTCTTATTGTGTGTCACTAAAACCATTAAAAATGCATAATTGCAAAACACATTTGCCAAAGCAAACATTCCACCCAGACGTTTGCTACTTCAAATAAAACTAGCAATGATAATTTAATGGAACGATATGCAACTCATCCTTTTTTGGTTCAGACAGTGTAACAAACGTTTACCTGAACTAGCTCATCAGAAGCCGATGCACACATGGGAAGTTTGTCTCTGGGAAGGATTCGAATCTGTGCCCCACTCTCAGCTGACATTTTCTTTATAACACTACCACCCTTTCCCAGAAGGCATCCAACTTGATTCGAAAGGACAAGTAGCCTAAAAACAAAGGAAGAAGATTTATTACTTTCTTCATCACCTTCAGTTGTCTCCTCTACTCCTTCAATCATCCTCTCAAAAACTAGTGATAGAGCCTTCCGAATAGGCAAATTACCCTTCTCGCTCTGCGAATCTTCAACGGGAACAGAATCTTTATCTCCATCATTGTCACCGTCGTCGCCGTCTTCTTCTTTCGTCTCCTCATTCTTCCCCTTGCCTTCATCCTTATCATTATTAACCTCCTTTCCCTGCTCAGTAGTATCTTCTTCAGTCTCTTTATCAGAACCAAAAATGGTAATAACTCTCTCATCGCACCCCGGAACAGGTTCCTCAATTTTAACCTTCACACCAGTTTCTTGGCGAATCTGTGATACGATGGCACCACCTTTACCAATAACACCGCCGATTCTAGAAGCAGGACAGAGTAAACGGAAGACAACATTTCCAGTAGACACATCCAACGGTCCTGCAGATTTTTGGCGTTTCCCTTTCCCATTTGGCTCTACATGGCTCCTATCATTTGGTCTCTTAGAAGATGCCATTGGAACTGACATGAGTATCAAACAATGGCACAACTATTTTGTATCAGTTTAACATTATTAAATCCTATAACTAAAACTATAAAACAAATTCAAAGTACGAACAGTTAATAACAAATATTGTAACCGCGAACTTATTGATGGATTTAATATTTCATTTTCAATGCAATGACATGCACCGTATTAAAATTCAAAAGAGGAAAAGTTAAGCCAGGTGATAGAGGGTTAGAACTATCAAGTTTCCAGTTACAAATTTTAAATAAAAAATAAAATAAAAGAACAACAACAACCGGAGGATGAAGAAAAAAAAGTAGCGGTGTGAAGATCTTAATATAATTCAAACCTTTCCGGAGTCACACGGAGACGAAACAGCACCGTAGCGTCGACGATGGATAGAAGAATGACGGAAAACACGTTCGGAAAGAATTTTCTGTGTTTCCAGTGACCTAAGCACTTAGGAGTGCGTATCGGCCACTCTACTTCCCAGCCCAAAACAATTGGGCCCCCAATTGCAACTCTTGAATTTTATACATAGTGATAGTATGATATTATTGTTTTCTTTTTTATTGAGATGAAATATGAATTTATATTTTGTTATTTACTTTTAGTATATAATAAATTCATAAAGATAAAAATTGTTTAAAAGTCAAATAATTATTTTTTATAAATTTTTTATTATAAAATATTAAATAAATAGACAACGTATTTGCAACAGTGTTTTACTTTTATTAAAAAAATATTTTGAAATGATTAACACAAAAGTGGTTTAATATGTTAGTTGCTATTACAAAGGAAAATTATTTATTTGGAGTCAATTTTTATGATTTTTTTAAAAAATTATTGTTATGATAAAGACTTGGAGATAAATATATTAAAAATAAATCTGTATACATTTTATTACATATATAAAGATTTTATGATAAATGTAAGAAGTATATCATTCCTTCAAAAAGTAAAATTATTCTCGACCAAAAGAATTAAAATAGTTTTCAAATAATAATTAAAATTATGTAATATTTAAAATATATGAATATATATATTAAAAATATTCAGTGAATATCAAAATTCATGTATTCATAAATAAATTTGCAACTATACATTTTAATTGAATCCATAAATTCAAATATTCCCTTCTTTTTTCCGGTAAACTATTCAAGTATTCTCTTTAGTAAATACTTAAAGTTATTGTTCTTTTTTATTAAATTTCATAATCTTCACTCTCATTTCTCCAATAATAAAATGATAGATAAATAATAATAATAATAATAATAAAATATTTTTTTACCAATGGACAAATAAAATCACTCTGGAAGGAATTTTTTCATATGATACTATAGTTTTCATTTCATTCATTCTTATTTTTTTACCTATGAAACTAAAAAAAAAAATCCTATTTATACAAATTAATTACATAGGTACCTTTGGCACGCGGAAAAATAAAATATAATAGTTTTGATCAGTGTTTTAAAATCCGGCTCGGATCGGTCGGGTCGACTCGGTGACCCAGTGGGTTCTCCGGTCCGAGCTGGTAGTTAGACCGGTTATGCAGTCAGCCCGGCTTGGACCAGTTGACCCGGTCGAAACTCGGCGACCCGGTTGACTCGGGTTAAACCGGTTTTTCCTTCTTTCTTTCTTTTTTGGTAAAATTTTTTTGTTGTTAATAAAAACTCTTGAACTAAATCATATTCATATTTTATAATGAATATGATTAAAAGTAAGGTGAAAATAATAAGGTATTTTAGATTAGTGTAGTTCGTTTATGTAATTTAGTTGCATCTTATAATGATCTCATGAAGTTAAGTGATGATAAACATTGATGGTCTCATGATCTCATCTCAACGGTCTAGAGCTAGAAGATTAGAAGTATATAATATTTGCTATCATTGAAAACCAATTTATTTTTTGAAGCTCATAGATAGTTTTCTTATGTGAATTTTTATTAATATAAGTAATATTTTTATATTTTTAATATGTGAACAGTAAAATCGGTTCAACCCGATTGAAACCGGTTAAACCAGTGACCCAGTACCTCGACCGTTTCGATGACCGGTTCGAGTTTTAAAACACTGGTTTTTTGAGGCTTGAATAATATTAGATGCCTTTTTTTAGGATGAGATTTGTAAACACTCTATTACCATGTTTGTTTTTATTTTGATCTATTAAAAAGAAAAAAGAAAAAATGAAGATGTCACATTTTCACATACACCTCCAAAAAAAAGATCAGGTCATCTCCCTACCCCTCAATTTATTTGTTCACTCACAAAACAAGATGCTCTGCTTCATTCTCAAAGGTTCTTTTGCAAAATAGAGCAGTTTCAACTTGAATAGAGGACTCTGACCATTCTTACTTCACTCATAAAGTTCCCAGTCTCACTACATTTAAGCAGCAGAGCATTTTATATTTCTTAAATTTTAACATGTTAAATACATTAATTTTAATTTTATCCTTGTTGTTTTGAGGCTTGAATAATATTAGATGCCCCTTTTTTAGGATGAGATTTGTAAACACTCTATTACCATGTTTGTTTTTATTTTGATCTATTAAAAAGAAAAAAGAAAAAAATGAAGATGTCACATTCTCACATACACCTCCAAAAAAAAGATTAGGTCATCTCTCTACCCCTCAATTTATTTGTTCACTCACAAAACAAGATGTTCTGCTTCATTCTCAAAGGTTCTTTTGCAAAATAGAGCAGTTTCAACTTGAATAGAGGACTCTGACCATTCTTACTTCACTCATAAAGTTCTCCGTCTCACTTCATTCGTGATTTTCTCATTCACATCTTTGGCTTCTCATTTTCTCAACCTTTCATTAACAATCAAATGGGTGGCTGCATTGGCTTAGTTGCTACAGCTAGCCACCTCCACAACAGTCACCCTGAATGGGTGCACCACCATTTGTCCGTATCAACTCCATTTGTTTTTAACTCTTTAGTAATAAAAATGTAATAATATTAAATACATAACTCAAATACATAATTTTAATATGATTGAATTATTTCTATCTAACAGATTATTTGGTGTAAAACTTCTTATTCTAACACTGGTATAGGAGTAAGAAGACTTCAAGCCTAAAACAAGCTCCAAACTTAGTTCCTATTTCCCCAAAAAATGGCCAGACGTTGGAATTGATCTGCAACTCATTGGCTTTCAAAGGTGATCAAAATCGATTTTGCAACTAGGCCGATCATGTGATCTTCCTCTACATAAATGGTTTGGAATCATCTTGGGTCAGAATATTTTGCAGTTGGAGCAGCTTTAACCCATGGGTAACTGCTCATTAACGAGCAGTTAGAGCAGTGACTTCATACTTAATCAAACTTCCTCCAAGACACTATGAAGTTACTTAATTTGTCTTCATGTCAGGCTATCACTTAATTTATATTATTATCTTCATAGTTGATGACATACTTCACGAAGGATTGAGAGAGAGACAAAGACAAGACGGCGTGGAAGGGCATGAAGAAATAGTAGAAAAAAGATAGTGGGCTTTTTGTGTATCTATTGGGCCAATGATGGGCCCATCAATCTCAAACAAAGTGTGGTAGCGGTATGGACTATGGAGCTTAGTTGCACTTTTTTTTTTGGGTACAATTGGTGGTGTTAGTGGTTTGGATGAAATTGATTTTGGAAGCAAAAATTGTTCAATCTAATTTCTTAAGTTTGATCATATAATTATTCATTCAGTTTGGATCCAATCCAATTTTTTTTTATTTAGATTGAATCGATTTTTGATTTTTTGAAAAGCTTAAAATTTGTTTGATGATTATTGTTAAAATAACATATCTTTTATATGTATTGGCTTTGTAAAGTTTTTATTTATTTTTTTGAAATATAGAAACATCATTAAACGATAATCTAATTTTTTTTGGACAATGAGATATAAATGTGTTAGGTTTTTTTCTTGGATTTAGTTTATGAGTTAATTAGTCTTGGGTTTAAAATTTTTGGGCTATGATTGGTGAAAGACCCAGGTATGGAGAGGGAAATTCATATATTGGATCAGTTTGGATTTAATCGATTTTCACTAACCAAACTTAAAACTGATTCAATCCAATTAAAATTTATGATTTTTTTTATTTTTAATTTTTTGATTTTTGATTTATTTTTATCAATTTTTTGATTCATTCAGTTATCAATTTTTGATTCCCAACCATGATGAATTGATTTGAACCAATTGATGAAGCTCTTGTGGGATCGAAACAACACACAAAATCATAGTTCCATTTATGGTAGTAGTTACAAAACACATTAGAGCGGGAATAGGACACAATATTTAATCCTTTTTTAAAATATAACAAAAGTGATGAGATTAAAAAATTAATATTTTTTGGTTTCATTAAAACGATGTAACAACAGAGATCAAAACCAGTGTTTTAAAACTCGGACTGGTCATCGAAACGGTCGAGGTACTAGGTCACTGGTTCAACCGGGTTGAACCGGTTTTACTGTTCACATATTAAAAATATAAAAATATTACTTATATTAATAAAAAATCACATAAGAAAACTATCTATGAGATTCAAAAAATAAATTAGTTTTCAATGATAGCAAATATTATATACTTCTAAGCTTAGCTCTAGACCGTTGAGATGAGATCATGAGACCATCAATGTTTATCACCACTTAACTTCATGAGATCATTATAAGATGCAACTAAATTACATAAACGAACTACACTAATCTAAAATACCTTATTATTTTCACCTTACTTTTAATCATATTCATCATAAAATATAAATATGATTTAATTCAAGAGTTTTTATTAACAACAAAAAAATTTTACCAAAAAAAAAGAAAAGGAAAAACCGATTTAACCCGAGTCAACTGAGTCGCCGGGTTTCGGCCGGGTCAACCGGTCCAATCCGAGCTAACTGCATAACCGGTCTAACTACCAGCTCGGACCGGGAAACCCACCGGGTCACCGAGTCCCGGGTCGACCCGACCGGTCCGAGTCGGGTTTTAAAACACTGCTCAAAACAACAAGGATAAAATTATAACTAATGTATTTAACATGTTAAAATTTAAGAAATATAAAATGCTCTGCTGCTTAAATGTAGTGAGACTGGGAACTTTATGAGTGAAGTAAGAATGGTCAGAGTCCTCTATTCAAGTTGAAACTGCTCTATTTTGCAAAAGAACTTTGAGAATGAAGCAGAGCATCTTGTTTTGTGAGTGAACAAATAAATTGAGGGGTAGGGAGATGACCTAATATATTTTTTTTTTGGAGGTGTATGTGAGAATGTGACATCTTCATTTTTTTCTTTTTTCTTTTTAATAGATCAAAATAAAAACAAACATGGTAATAGAGTGTTTACAAATCTCATCCTAAAAAAGGGGCATCTAATATTATTCAAGCCTCAAAACAACAAGGATAAAATTAAAATTAATGTATTTAACATGTTAAAATTTAAGAAATATAAAATGCTCTGCTGCTTAAATGTTTAGGAATATTATAAAATTTATTTGACAGATATAGAACTATTGAAGAAATAAATGAAATTGAATCTATCAAAAGTAAGGAAAATTTGATATTAATTAATGAGAAAGATAATAGCAAAAATATAACGTTAATTAAATGGATCCAAATGATAGTGAAAAGAATAATGATATTTATTAAACAAAACGGAATTCAAAATTCATATGTCATGACAAATAGCTGAGAAATTTCGGTGTTGGTGTTTTTTAGATTTTATTATGTGATATTTTTTTTTTGGTATAACCTGGAGGGTATCCTCATTCAACCTCTTCTGGTCACTTTATCTTCGGAGTACGGCCCGAAGGCTAGTTCCTCATTGGAACAGCGGGTGTATTGAGCTTCATTACCGGAGGAAGGATGAGACTAATCCCCCTTCGAGGACAGAGACATGTCCTCTGTCCCCCAAAGATTTTTCAAGAATTTACTTGAGACAGAGTTTGAACCCCTGACCCAAGCAAATCCTTGGAAGCTCAGTTGCCAACTGAGCTTCCCTAAGGGTTTATTATGTGATATTTAGTATCATATCATTGTGACTAACATTTTAATTAATGTAATATAATCCACTTCAAAATGTTTGACATTTTTTAAAAGATAAAATTTGAGTGTATTTTAAAATTTATTAATTATCACGTTTTTTATCGTAATCTTTCCTTTATTTATTATATTGTTTTAGTTATAATTATTAATTCGTCATTAAGATTTTACGTGATCAGTTAATCTTTTTTTTTTTTTTATCTTTTGACACTCTCCTTTTTTTTTTGGGTAGGAATTTGACATTCTCCGTAACTTTAGCTTTATCTTAATTTTAAGGTATTTTTTATCATTAACTTTATCTTTAGTCTTATTATTATTGTTTTTTAGAAATGGTTAAACAATGTAGAGTCTGCCACCAAGAGTTGATAAAGAATGTTTTATCATCGTTGTCCTTGGATTTGAATATGTTTTCAATTAAATTAATTGACGAGTTTCTTAACAATAATATTTCCTTTATTTATTATATTGATTTTACTGCAATGGTTTATTCATCTTTAGATGTTTATACTAATTGATTGTATTTAATCTTTTTTCTTTCCTTTAGTCAGTTTATCTTATCTTTTCTTAACTGTAAGTGTTTTATCTTTTGAAATTTTCCTTAATTTTTTTTTCTTTTGGGGGGAACTATCATCATTTATTTATATCTTTAGTTTTAACTAAATTATTGTGTATTTGTATCATTAACTTTATCTTTAATCTTATTAATTTAAATAGAAAACGCCAAACGATGTCTTCATTATATCAAAATAATGTAATGATATTGTAATTGTATATTTAAATAATTTAGAATATCGTAAAAGATCTCCTGAGATTGGTTTATATATTTTCGTATTCTGTTATTTAGCATAAACCACTTCAAAATATTTCACATTTTTTTAAAGATAAGATTTGAATGTGTTTTGAATTTTATTAATTGTTGATAAAGAATGTTTTATCATTGTTGCCCTGGATTTGAATATGTTTTGAATTTAATTAATAGATAAAGCATATCTCCAGTCTGGAGATAAATTATCTCCAGTAAATACAAAACGACGTCATATTGTGACGGAAATCAATGTATTTTGGTAATTCTAATTTATTGCAGAATTATATTAGTCTTTATCATTATAATTTTTTAATCTTACAATCTTAAAATGACGTCATTTTAGGCTGATTGGATATAACTTTATTTCTTAGAGAAATACTTTTCCCTTAATTAATTGAAGAGTTTCTTATAATAATATTTCCTTTATTTATTATATTGATTTTACTGCAACTATTTATTCATCTTAAGAAATGTATACTAATAATTGATTGTAATTATTTTTTTTCTTTCCTTTAATCAGTTAATCTTATCTTTTCTTCACTTTAAGTGTTTTATCTTTTAAATTTTCCTTAATTTTAGGGAAGGAAATATTATCATCATTTATTTATTATATCTTAGTTTTAACTAAATTATTGCATATTTTTATCATTAAGTTTATCTTTAACGTCATTAATTTAAATAGAAAATGTCAAATGATATCTTCGTTATATCAAAATAATGTAACAATGTTTTAATTGTATATCTAAATAATTTAGAATATCTTAATAGATCTTTTGAGATTGGTTTATATATTTTCGTATTCTGTTATTTATTTCCTTTTTTAAAAGATTCCATTATCGACACAAATCTTTTACATTGATTATTATTATATGTTTCATTATAAATAGGATTGGGTTTGTCCATCATATACATAAACCACTCCTCTTATTTCATCTTTTTCCTCCTACTAAAAATATAGAGCACCTAAAAGTTCTAGAGAGCAAAAAGCTATTTAGAAACCAGAGGTCTACTAAAGTGTTTAGATAGGTTAGACGTGGGCCTCGTTTTTTACTTGAGTCTTCCAATGATCCGAGGACCAGGACTCTTAAGTCTCCCAAGGTACCAGGACTCTTAAGTCTCCCAAGGTACGCCATGTATTTGATTATTTTGTGGTCATAGACTTTGAGGCTACTTGAGACAAGGGCAAAAATTCTCACCCTCAAGAGATAATTGAGTTTCCATCAGTCATAGTGAGTGGTGTCACTAACGAAATAGAATCATGTTTTCAGACATATGTGAAGCCTACTTATAATCAAATTTTGACTGATTTCTGCAAGGAGCTGACTGGTATACAACAAGATCAGGTGGACAATGGAGTTACATTGGAAGAGGCTCTACTCATGCATGATGAATGGCTTGAAATCAATGGGATAAAGAACTCCAACTTTGTTGTTGTCACGCGGTCTAACTGCGATTGTGAGGTAATGCTTGAATCTGAGTGCAAATTCAAGAAGATACCAAAGCCTGCTTATTTCAACAGGTGGATCGACTTAAGGGTTCCTTTCAATGAGGTGTTTGGTGATATGAGGCGCAAATTAAAGAAAGCTCTTGAGATAGCTAGATTGAAATGGGAGGGGCGTGCTCATTCTCGACTTGATGATGCCAAAAATACTGCTCGATTGTTGGCATTGATCATGCACAAGGGTTATAAGTTTTCCATTACTAATTCCTTGCCTTGGAAGCAGTCTGAAGAACGAGCAACAGTTTTTCATGATCGCAACTACAATATGATGATTTTTCCCATTGTTCAATATCCTCCCCCTCCCCCTTACTTTCACCTTGGTGTTATGCCACATACCCCTGTAGTTCTGTTGAATAAGATATTTTGAAATATATTGTAAAGACTATCTTGTCTAATATGATTTTCCCTCTGGTCTATTCACCGTGGGGTTTCGCATGAATTTTTCTGGAAAAAAAAAAACTTATTGTTTATCCTATATTCGTTTATCGCTGTTGTAATTATATCGTATCAATCAAATAATGAAGTAATTCGTAATTAACGGAAAGTCTTCTCTAATTACCATTAACATTAAGTGACCTTCAGTTACTCTTTTTTTGTATACATCTCCATCGGTTACTTTAATTACTTCATCAATAACTTTATTTTAAAATCTTGATCATTCATAAATAACCACCCAAACAATAAAGGTGGGTGGGATCTGCCGATCTGGGATGGTTAGAATTTAGAAAAGCATATGAAAGAGGTGATTTTTTTTTATTGGGATGGATAGGGTTGCAACTTGCTATTCATTCACCAAACCGGTCAATTTGAATTGTGAGGAATTAGATTTTCCAATTTTGTCTCAGTGCACAAAAAGGGTTTTCATCATGTCCTTCAATTTCAATGTCGATCAATTCAAACATGGGAGACTAGCTCCTTCTACGGTTATGCATTGATTTTTTAATTTGATCTGTTTCGCTCTTCAAACCATGGGAGACTCCTCACTCGAATCCCACCCCATCAATCAAATCAATAACGGGGATTTCAGAAAACCTAAGGTATGTGATTTCTGTTATGATTGTTGAGAACTTGTGTGCTTTTGATGCTGTTTACATGGAATATCATGGTCATTTTGAAATCGACGGTGTTCTATTTAATAAACAGTATCTTCCGGAATATTCTTGTTGTGATTTGAATTAAAACCATCCCCCATTTGTCACTGGTCTATAGGGAATCCTTATAATTAATAATTATTAGGATTATGCTGATTAAGAAATTTTATGAACATGGTTTATCCCTGTTACCTTTTTTAGCAAAATATGATTTTGAAGGGATAAACTACTCTTAGATATTTAGAATGCCTTGGAGGTTGGGACCTTACCAAAGAATGAGGATTTGTTCTGTATGCACAAGCCTATTATAATATAATCTGAACGGAGCCTTTCAATTATTTGTACTGAAGGCTGGATAATCTTCTGTTGCAAGTTAATATGTCAAGTTTCTTTTGTAATATATATATATATATATATATATATATATATACATATATATATATATATATAGCCGTTCTGTTACTGTTTTGGTCTATAGCTCTGATTTAGAAATGTGGTTTGTTGTTGGCTTGTTGCTGGTCTTCTTGTCATCAAGAAACTAGTTGTAACTGAGTGCATATTTTCTTATTTTTGTCATTTTGATGGAAGTGTAACTTTTGTCATGCTATGTCTTGTGGCCGTATCTCATGCTTATTTTGCTTTTGAGAATGACAACATTGATGTTGTGTTAACTGATATCAAGAAGAATGATGCCATTGGTCAGCCTGCTACTGCAACTACCGGTGGGTGAGTTCAATTTAGTAAATAAACCCTTCATTGCTTTAATTAAATTTTGCAAAATTCTCTACTTGGTCAAGACGAGAGATGTAAAATTTTATGAATTGATTTACTGGACATAATTACCTTATATATCACCAACTTCTGGGGTATTAGATCTTGCGCAATTGAATACCTTCTGTTCTATGGATTTGCCATGCCAAGATTTGAGAAAAGGTTTTCTTAGGAACTACTTATTGCATATTATACCTTGAAATTGTATATGTTAATTGGTTGAGCGTTTAGTTAATTTGATGTATCTCTGATTTAATAGGAGGACCTACGCTTGTGCAAGTGTGTGCAGTGCAGACACAAACTTTTGGTGTGGGGTTCACAGGTTGCTCCATAGTCTGAAAGTGTAAGCAAGTTGCTCCCATATAAGCTGGAACCCTTTGTAATATACTGGGCTTGAAAACTTCATCAACTTCTCTAAAAGGTTCCGGATCATTTCCTAGACTATCAGCCAACCCAACCCAACCCGTCTATCTCCCTTATCCAGTTCTTACCGTTGAATAATTAATTTGTTCCTCCATTCTTTTGATGCGCGAGCAAGTTAGAGGTAGTTACTTCATCTTTCTAGCCAAGACTTCCTCTGCTTTTCATAATTAGAAATAACAAATTGTGATTAGAAGAAAATATATTCGGACTCATGTTAAGTCGTGTAGTTTGTGATGGCATCAAACACAACATACCCAGAGTTATTATTTCACTTCACTTTTGGGACAATATTTATTTCATTTATTCAATTAAACTTCCGTATTATCAGAAGAACGCTCAAAAGAAGGCTTTATCATTCAAAATTTGTTGTCATTTAGTTTGTATTCTTTTCAAAAGATCTTATTCGTTTTTAAAATTATGTGAATATGTATTTAATCTGTTTGCAAGTATTTCTTTGGTGGAAAGCTTAATCCTTTGGTGAGGATTTATGTGATTAAGAAAGCAGTGACTTCTGATATTAAAATTCCTGCAGAACCAAAACAAAAGAAAATTTAGGAAGATACTAAAACAAATACTAGTAATAGACTACAATATTTGTGTCAAAACTATGGAAGTGATGATGATTAGTAGTCATAACTATCTGTTTCCATTGGATTGTAAATTGTATTTGTGTGTAATGTATATTTCCATTGTGACATAGAATAGAAATATTCGGTTTACACGCTCCGGCATAAATGCCTCTTATTATCTTGTTTAAGTAAGAAAAGGATTTTAATTTAAAAATACTAAAAAATAATATAAATCATTAAAAAAATCTCACCTAACACTTAGACATTTGGATTGGGTGTCAGTGACCTTGTAGAGGCCCTTGCCTTTGAAAGCGAGTGACTCGTAGATCAATTCCAAAGTCTAGCCACGCTTTGGAAAACAGGAATTGGGTTTGGAGCTTCTGTTAGGCTCCAAGTTTTACATCAAATAATCTGTTAGACGAAAATAATTCAATCATGTTAAAATTATGTATTTGAGTTTTGTATTTATTATTATTAAATTTTTCTGTATAGTTCAATAACTCATTAATTTATTACTAAAGAGTTTAATGACAAATAAAAAAAAAATATGACAGGGTCATATAAGAAGATCACAATAACACAAAGGTAAATTAATGATTATGATTTTTTAACTACTTATTTCAATATTTTTTTTTCTCTTTTTATTTATTATCATTGATTCACCTTTGTATGGTTACGATTCTCTATATAACCATGTCATATTTTTTTTAACACGAGAGAATTCAAATCTCAAATGCACTTAATAAGGACAAATGGTGGCGCATCCATGCATGATGACTGTTGTGGAGGTGGCCGGAACTAACGAAGCACGAACATGCAATTTTTTGTGAAAAATATGTGTCGGACACTGACACGCTCCGATATGTTCCGACATGCTGTTAATATTTTGGGACATGCGGTCAACTTTTCGACACGCATCCGACACATTTTTCCAACACACAGTCAACTTTTTTCCACATGCGGTCAATGCTCCGACACTTTTTTTTAGGTCTTAATTTTATTTTATTAACTAAACATAAAACAAATATAAATCAATTTTTTTCTGTTATGAAATTTGACATGAAAATTTAACAAGGTACGAAAAATTATTTTTGTTTATATTTACGGTATGAAATTTGAATATTTGATTGGTTATATGACTTATTATGGGCTGTTATATGTATTAAATATAAATTATATTATATATATTAAAAATACTATTTAATATCAAAACGTGTCTCAATGTGTCGAAATGTGATATTTTTTAGAATTAACATGTCGGCATGACGTGTCGTGTCTCGTGTCAATGTCAATGCAAGATAGGGGGAACAACTAAGTCAATGCAGTCACCCATTTGATTGTTAATGAATGGTTAAGAAAATGAGAAGCCAAAGATGTGAATGAGAAAATCATGAATGAAGTGAAACTGAGAACTTTATGAGTGAGGTAAGAATGGTCAGAGTCCTCTATTCAAGTTGAAACTGCTCTATTTTGCAAAAGAACCTTTGAGAATGAAGCAGAGCATTTTGTTTTGTGAGTGAGGGCCTATTTGGTGTGATGTATAATGCCTGATAATATAAGTTTATACTATACATTATGACATTTTTAGTTGTTTGGTGTGACCATCGTATAGTATAAGATTATACAGCAAAATCCTTTTATATATCAAAATGATGTATAACTTTTTTTTTTGTGAGGAAATGATGTATAACTTAATCAAGTAGAGGAAGGTAGGATTAGGCCTGATAAGGGATTGATTTATTAACCAATGCAATTTTCAAGGATTAATATATTAAATAAAAAATATTTTTTCAATATATAATTTTTAAAATATTAGAAAATTTTATTTTTATATAAATTAATATATTTTTTGGACACACTGATCAGCAGATTTCTATAAAAATATATTTTTATAAAAATTAATATCATATGATATATTTGGAAGAATTATATAAATTCATTATTAAAAGGTATTTTTTTTTAAAAAAAATTATCCTATCTAGTATTAAAGAGTACATTACCAAATGCTGGATAATATTAAAATTTAATCAGGTCTTATACAATCAGTCTCGTACTATCAAGCCTTATCTTATACTGTATACCAAACATGACCTGAATAAATAAATTGAGGGGTAGGGAGATGACCTAATCTTTTTTTGAAGGTGTATGTGAGAATGTGACATCTTTCTTTTCTTTTTTCTTTTTTCTTTTTTCTTTTTAATAGATTAAATAAAATCAAACACGGTAATAGAGTGTTTACAAATCTCATCCTAAAAAAGGGCATCCAATATTATTCAAGCCTCAAAACAACAAGGATAAAATTAAAATTAATGTATTTAACATGTTAAAATTCAAGAAATATAAAATGCTCTGCTGGTTAAATGTTTAGGAATATTATAAAACTTACTTGACAGATATAGAACTATTGAAGAAATAATTGAAATTGAATCTATCAAAAGTAAATAAAATTTGATAAAATTAATGAGAAAGATAATAGCAAAAATGTAACGTTAATTAAATGAAACCAAATTATAGTGAAAAGAATAATGATATTTATTAAACAAAACGGAATTCAAAATTCATATGTCATGACAAATAGCTGAGAAATT